TGTATCTAAAACTAATAATGTTAGAAGGACGAAATTCGAGGATATGGTAGAACATATTAGTCCTTGACATAAAAATTAATATTGGAAATTTACAAAAATATTCAAGAATAAAGTTTTAAAAGGACATTTTCAATACTTAATCGTCCTGGTGTACCAAAAACCAATTTTTTTTCTAATCTACAGGATTTTTCCTTTTAGTTGATACCCATATTGTTATTCTACAATGCACCGAATCTTTTGAATAATTTTTTTATGCAATCAAATTCTAGAAATTCCAAAGTCCTTTAAAAAAAATCCTGACGTCAGAACTAAAACTAACCAACTAAAAAAACTAAAAACGCAGTTTTACTATACTTGGCCTCCAGTTTTGTGAATATATTGATTTTTTCGTGTGTAAAATTGACTGCTGTTGCACAGAGTATTAATGCCATCAAAGCATAAAAGGGACCTTAACATTCTGTTAACTATTTACATATGAGAAAGGCGCTATGAAGAAGTATTTATAGTTTGTCTAAAATTGCGAAACAAATCCCTGAAGTTTTATACTTGATCGGTTTCGTAATAAATTGATATCTCATATCAAATATTAACAGTTTGACACTTGTCAAATCATTGGTTCAAGAGAAATTACTTAAAGTTTGAGCAAAAATGAGTTAAAATGTCCCACTCGTCACGTTGGAATGCCCCATGTGCATATACTACACACTTGTAAAAGGTGTTCGCGATTTTGCGTTCAACTTTTGCTTTCAACTCATGCAGGGTTGCACGAAAAAAAAATTCAATGGCTAAATGTTGGCTGGCGACCAACTTTGTTGAAAGCTATTAGTTGAAAGGCCATTCAACCAAAAGTAGAATGCAAAGTTGAACAATGCAAAGGACTTTTTATGGCGAATATTTTGATATTTTTTTATATTTTGATATTTTTAGCCATTCAGTTTTTTTGTCGTGAAACCCTGCGTGAGTTGAATGCAAAAGTTGTCTGAAAAACCGCCCCGTGCGAATGCCCTAGTATTTCTCAAATTATTTTTTCAGTAATGTGTGTTTATCTAGTAACTTCTGAGCTTATAGCCTAGGAAAGTCACGTTTCTTCGAAGGTTTTCACTTATGCTGTGTTCTTCCAGGGTTGAGTTTAAGTTTTGTTAAGAAATGTTAATAAAAAAAACCAACAAAAGTGAAACTTAAAAATTCTGTTTTTCAATCTTGTAGTCTGGGCATCTGAAAATGTGGTTACCCTAGCTATCTACATGTTGTAGGCCATAGGATACAAATATTCAAAGGTAAAACCGCTCGCTCAATTCGTCGGCAACTCAAATGCCAAATAAAAGTAAAACAAAAAAAACAAATAATGAAAATATTCAAATTTTCTTTTATTTTACACTGAAAGTCATGGTACAGGTTTTGTCTTCCCAGAGAGCGTATTTCTTAAACAAACCTTCTTGCAGAGGACTTATTTAATTTGCAAAAGCCGAAAAAAACATTTGCTTGGTAAATAAATTCAAAATTTATATGGCTCACTTCATTTCAAAGTTTTTTTCTTTTGTTTTGAAAAACTATAAAAATGAAATTGAGAGTAAACAAAAACAAAGCCATATAAGGGAGCACGAATTTCGATGTGAAGCAAAACTCTCTGGGAAGACAATGCCAGTAATTATTGTACCATGACTGAAAGTGAGAATGTACATATTTGTGAGATTGAAAATTTGCTGCCTCTCAGCGGTTTTACCTTACAATTTTTTTAACATGGTTGTAGTCTGGATGAAATTCATTTTTAAATTTTATCATACTTTAAAATATAACTGTCAATAACTTGGACCAGCATATTTCAAGATATTTATATCTCAACACAAGAAATATAATTACTTTTTTCAAATACCCGTGACTTGGCGAAATTTGCGTGGTTGGTATACTTCACGTGGCCGCTGTTATTTATTTATTTATTTAATAATAATAATAATAATAATAATAATAATAATAATAATTAATAATTTCCACAATTCCGCAAGGGTATATGAGCAATCTCAATAGTTGTTACATTTTTCTGACAAAATGCGGTGTCTTCAGTTTGGTATAAAGAACAAGATTCCAACTCGAAATTATATATGAATGAAAATTTCGAAATTATATACATACAGAAAAAAAGTAAAAAAATAACCACTGATGCTCATATACCCGTACTTGCGTATGTAGCGTATACGCCCCGTTGCACCATACGCAGTCATCTAACACGTTTACTCGCACGCCTTAACTTAAAAGCCATATTATTTAAAAGTAATAAAATATTGGCGTGGGGGATTTTTACGCATTATTCGTAATGCTCATATGTTTAAGTACTTTATTCATGTATTTCACAATTGATTTTCGAATTTTCCAATAAAAGTTCTTAAAAATGGAATTTTAGTTTCTCAAACCATCGTCATATTTTACTCATTTCCTTTAATACTTATCGATGGCTGAGTAGAAGATCGACCTATCTCGGCAGTCAGTTCGAGGACGCCCTATCTCAGAAAATATCGATGGCTGAGTAGAAGATCGACCTATCTCGGCAGTCAGTTCGAGAACGCCCTATCTCAGAAAACTTTTCAAGAACGCCCTATTTCAGAATTTTTAGGAAAAAACCTTATCTCAGAACTTGGTTGACGAACGCCCTATCTTAGAATTCGGTGCCCTACATTAAACGAAAATATATTGAAAATGTGCTGAGATAGGGCGTTTTTGAATCGATTTCTGAGATAGGGCGTGTTTCAATCAAATCCTAAAATAGGGCGTTGTTGACAAATTTTCTAAGATATGGCGTTTTCGGACTTGCTGCTGAGATAGGTCGATCTTCCACTCAGCCATCGGTATGAGCATTCTATTTGAAAACTTCGCAAAGTTATTATAAAAAAAAACAATTATTATTTTTTCGAGTGAAAATGAAAAAATTAGTAATTTCGGTACTATCTCACCTAAATAAACGTTTTAAGGATAAAATTGTTCAAATACTTGATTTACGTTTTATTTTACTTATTTTTGGAACCCGATTGATTGAAATAAATGCAAAGAGAATGCTTTAGCAATTTTTGTCTGCCGAGAGAAGGGAGTGACACCAAAAAAAAAAACAATTCGTGAGATTTGATTATATATATATGCATACATATGTATATGTATGTACATAACACATGTATACATACATACATGCATACATATATATTCACACAATTTATTTGCTGCCGTCATGATTAAGCTCATGCTTAGTGAATAGTTTTGTACATATTTTTATCGCATTGTACTGTAGTATTGTTGTTGATATAACAGGCTTTGTGGGATTATTTTATTTAATTTAGTTTAATCTGAATTTATGCAGAACGACATAATATGAAGATTTTAAACTACTGTGCGACAATGTGTGTATGCATCAATGCACTCTGATGATATAAATATTCCTGGCTATGTGCATAAATATTTGCATTACACGGTTAAAAATTTCGGTTTAAATTTTAAACTTTTTGACTACATATATGACCAAACTGAATTCAGTTTCAAATACAAACCTTCCAAGTTTTAAAAAAAGAGAGCACATATGTTGGGTCTAGAATTTAAACTGTTCGGTGTTAATTTTAAACGCAAACATTTTCATAATTAAGAATAAAAAAATAAAATCTTAAATTTCAGCTCCGTCTGATGGGGATTGAACCCAGACTACCTTTGGTAGCAACCAATTGTATTAAGCATCTTTGCTCACTCAGCTACAGCCATGCATGTAAATGTCCTTTCATATGTTGAGTTTGAATCAACACCACATTTCGCTGTGTTGATGCCGTCAGTTCATAAGATTTGCTCTCTCTCTCTCTCTCTGAGAGACATATAAAATAAGGCATATTGAGGCAAACATTTTCTATTCCGGTTTAGATTTTAAACAAAATTTTCTAAATATGAAACCTAGAAACTAGAATTAAAGTATTTTGGTTTGATTTTTAAACCACTAATAGCAAAACATCATTTTCTCGGCTGCTAGACTAAAATTTAAACCAGAATATATTAAAAATTGCTTAAAACTATTGACTGGTTTAAAAAGTAGACTATAAAATAGAGGTGGAGAATCGTGGCACTATCGATGCATCGATGTTTTTGCATTTTTGCTTAACATAGATGGTTGATGGCGACTGTCGATGTTTCCTTTGTACACTTTTACCTTTCAAAACAAAAATAAAAAAATATTTTTCAAGACTTTCAATAAAAAATCTTTTAACTCTTTATAATATAATAATAATAATAGATTGGCGCTTACACATATGTAAATAAGTGTTTGGCCGAGCTTCTGCTCCGATTTGTGACGTGCGCCTTGATGTTATCACACTTTTGAGCGACCTCTAATAATTTTTGATTAAAAAATAGGGGTGTTTTTTTCTATATAGAGCATTAAAATTCCTACTTTACTTTTTTTTGGACCACCCTAATATACATACATACATATGTATGTATGTATCTATGAAGTACCTAACGGCGTATCAACAAAATGCAAAACCGCGTATCAAGATAATGCAAAACCGCGTATGTGAGGTTGCATAAATTATTTTCTAGAGAGTAAAAACATTCGCATTTCAAAATGGTTCTCTTTTTTATAAAGCAATCGTATTTCTGGCTAGTATATTTCAGGACGAATGGATAAGGATTGAGCCAAGAGCTTGTGTGAGCAAAACCAATTTTTGACAGCAAATGTCGGTTAAAGCTTAAACAAACGGCAGCGTTGATCGGGATTAACTGGGACTTAATCCGGATCAACTGCAGTTAATTCCCGAGTTGATCCGGATCAACGCTGCCGTCTGTTTAAGCTCTTACGCGGCTTTGCAGAATGACGATACGCGGTTTTGTACTTTAAACGACGATATGTATGTATATAATTTCGCAATGATTTTTCTCTGATTGATGTCTTACATACTTACATTATATCTATACATATACATATGTATGTACATATATTTGTTTGGTTGATAATAGTCTCCTCCGCTTTTAATTTACAGGCGTACAATAGGAGTGAGTAAATTAGCTGCTGGCAGTTGGTTCGACGAACATTAGACCAGAATCGAAATAGAGGAACAAGTAAGCGGCGAGATCGAGTGGATAGAATAGCGGTAAACAGTGATAGTGTAAAATGGCTGTGGAGAGGTCAAGCAAAATGCATTTCGTTACCAGTAGCCTTGGCTATGGCGGGGCGATTGTACTCATGGCGCTTGTTTATGGATTGCAGCATATTGGCGCTCAAAATCCGCCGCAGCAACAAGTTTGTCCGGAACAAAATGATATAGCACCTTGTGTTTGTACGTTGAAGAAAAACGGATTGGACATTTTGTGTGAAACAACCGACTTGGCACATATAACAAAATCAATGGGTACTTTGAAAGGCCAGAGTCCCATCATATTCTATTTGAAATTGCGCCACAACAACCTTCCCAAATTGCAAGGCTTTGTTTTCTTGGCATTGGATATCCGCCATTTAACAATTCACAATAGCAGTTTGGCTGCCATAGAAGAGAATGCGCTCAGCTCATTGGGTATGCATCTTTTTCGAAGACCGAAGAAAACCATCCAGTTCACTAATTTGAAAATTGTCATTACAGGTAATGGACTCACGCAGTTGGATGTTTCGCTAAATCAAATGAAAACGGTGCCATCAGCTGCATTAAAGCATCTCTTCCATTTGTTGATCCTAAATTTGAATCATAACAAAATTAGCGTTATCCACAATAATGCTTTCGAGGGCTTGGACACATTGGAGATACTTACATTGTATGAGAACAAAATTACTACAATTGAACCGGAAGCGTTCAGAGGAGTTGAGAAGTAAGTTCGTTAAATCTTCCACTTTACCTTTCTAAAAGTGCTGCTAAATGTGGCAATTGAAGTTATATTGAAAAATCTGTCAAATTCACAGTCCAGTCAGACCTGGCAATGCAAGTAAAGTTATTTCGAAAAGTCTGTTAAGCTCAACAATTTCGGAAAATTATTGCAGGTGCAGTCAGATTATGCTTGAGAAGTGACTTTCGAAAGCAGTTTTGAAATTTCGATAATCGATATTTTGTTTATTAATTCGCATAAATTCGCAAATAAATTGATTAGATAGTACCTTCATCAAAGTAAATAGATTTGCAGTGCAACACGAGCAAACTAAAATTTTTGAAAGCTAAATATTTGCACTATTTTAGTTGGGGGCACGCTTTGGAAGTTTAATTTTTGCAAAAAGGATTAATAGGTGGTCACCCGGAAAAACACACTTTCACAGCAAAGAGTACTCCATGTATATTCGCACACACTCCCACGAAAGCCTGTCCCACCTGATTTATTCGAGGCTTACCAATGCCTGTTCTTACCAATTGTTGTTCGTTCCCTGAGCTAGAGCTCGCGGTAAGGCAACTCGCACCATGTACTCTTTCCCATCATCTAAACCCAACTTTAGTTAGGTGGAAAAGGCTGCCCGAGTCAAACGGTACTCACAATCTCCACGGCTAACAACTCGGGCAAGGTGTTGGTGCCCTCTGCGGAGCTTAGCTGAACAACACAACCCTCCCTTCCTTCTTCTTTATACAATCTTCCACCTGCTCCAATCTCCATATGAGGGCCTAACTGCAGCAGAACTCCAACTGAACTACAGCGGACTTTTAAGTAAGGTCTTCATAGCTGCGATAAAAGAGTTGCGTCGGATGCAACGAGCTCGTGCAGCATCGCCTTTTCGATGTAGACATTATGGTACTTCTCTATGTTCATTGTATTTACATATATACATATACATACATACCCCTGCCACCTGCCCAGATAGACGATCGGATAATTGGTAGCATGAACAATTCGCCCCGATTTCCGACTTAGTCAGCAGTACTAGCGAAAGAGCGTGACCATCGTGGCCAGGTAGATCCCGGGAACATAATCAGAAAAAGTGAGAATAGAACCTGCAGACCTGTAACATACCTTTCTAGCTTGAGTAAACTTTGGCCAGCCGAAAAGTCCCTACCCTAGACAAAAGGTTGTGACAGAACTGCTGCTACTTCAATTTATATTAAATTTCACCTTGTGAATGTCGCAGCCGGAGTTGAACCACTACCCGTTACAGTGCAGGGCCGAGAGGTCCGTGTTATCGTTGTACAATTACGATCTGTAGCAGATTAAATGACACTTTTTCCAGCCAGACCGTTAGTAGAGTTTGGCAACAACGATTGAAACGATTAGGCGATCTGGACATTGGTATAGATACTAGGAATACTAGGACTTAGTTTAAACTTTTTTTTACAAAGCATAATTTTGAATTGCAAATTTTGAAGTTTCTTCACGTAAATACAGTATATTTTGCTTAGCTGCACATCCTTCTTTGCACGAAAAACTTGTGCACTTAACCGAAAAAGGCACCTAAGCGAATTTTCTTTACTACTTCAATGAGGAAGGTATCCGAATACCTACGAAACCAAATAGTGGCGGAGCACTTACCACGTAGAAATTACTGCAAGCGAAATTTTTACCGATTTGTATCTAATTATCTATATAACTACATAAATTTATAGCCATTTTCGTTGTTCTGCGAGATGAACAAAATAAATAAAAAGTTGTAAAATTAGGTAATTGTAGGGCCAGTGCAGGTAAACGTAATACTTTCTTTGATAATTGATACTAGTCGCACAATTTTTAAGGCAGGTATCGCCAATGTGCAGGTATGCTAAATGCATCTATCGGAGCCGTTTCCTTATAAATGTTAAAAATAATGCCTCTGATGCGCATTTTGGGGTAGGTATCTTAAATGTGCACTTAAGCACAGAGACAGCAAAGCAAAATATACTGTAGTTAGTTCGGCGAATGAGTTCAAAACGAGACTGGAAGCAATGCTTATAAACGAAAAGATTTTATGAAATTTTTTAAATTACTTTCTGCCGGTGTACACTGTGGCCGCTTCATACAGGTCGATGCCCAAACACAAATTTTTATAAATGATGGTATGTATAAAAAAAAAATATCAGAGTCAAAATAAAGTACCAGATCACGTGTATAAACATTGAGTTAGTAACTGCTACCAGTTGTCGTGGCAACATCGCAAACAAATTTAGAAAAAACGTTTTTTCTTAACAGCGGTTGTCCCTCGGCAGGCAATAGTTGCGTTCGCGTAGCTGTTAATTGTTCATATTTAACCAAAACTTACAAGTTTTTGCGTTCGCGTACGCAAAAAACCTGCAAAGTAGGCGAAATTGAGAGAGCAAATTGACATTTCATTTTGAGGGGAAGCTGCTGGTTTCTGCTGGAAAAATTTTTGCCAACAGCAATTTGCCAACAGGAAAACAGCTGATCAAAAACAGCTGGTTGGCATTTACGCAAATCACAAAATTGAATTTGATGGTTNTGAGTTTGATGGTTTGGAAGTTAAAAATCACAAAATGCGACTAATTAAACTTGTAAGAAATAAGTAGTTATTTGTTTAATCAATAAACTGTGTCAGTATAACACTTTGNTAGTTATTTGTTTAATCAATAAACTGTGTCAGTATGACACTTTGTGATGACTTTTCGTACGTTTTAAATTTTACACTTTTGAATGTAAACAAAATTTCAATCAGCTGTTCGTCTAACTTGCAAGTTTCTGCAAATTTTCTGTTCGCGTACTATTTGGGACATTTTTCTCTTGTGAGAGAAAAAATGACATTTCGCCGGAGTTTGGCAGTTGGTTGGTTTTAACTGGAGATTTTAAACGAACGCACCTAATGGCAAATGTCCGAGTGTATTTCTGCCATGAAAAACAGCTTCTCATAAAAATACAATCGCCGATCGGAGTCTGCGTAAAACTGTAGGTCCCTCCGCTTTGTGTGAAAACATCAAGGCGCACGCCACAAGTCGGAGGTGAAGCTCGGCCAAACACTAACATATGTGTAAGCGCCAATCTATTACACAGGTTTACAAAAAAAAAGAAGTGTATGCATATTAAACCAAACCTATATATCCCTATATTATTCGACATGCTGAATACGAATCCGAGGTCCGTTAGCCTCCATCACGTCAGGTTCGTGGTCATTTGAAGGTCAAGTAGGGAAAAATTCATTTAATAAACCTGAAAATTCAACGAAATTCATCGGAATTTGACCTTGGGATGACCTTGGCATGACCTGCAGATGACCTTAAGGAATCAAGGGACCTCCATACTCGGTTTCAGCGACAACAAAAACTAATTTTTTTTTTAATTTTTATTGAATAAATTTTATGTCCTACTTGACCTTCAAATGACCTCGAAGCTGACATTATGGAGGTTAACGGACCTCGGATTCGGGTTCAGCGAATGTAAAACCTTATGTATATGAATTTTCAGATTTATTCAATGAATTTTTCCCTACTTGACCTTCAACTGACCACGAACCTGACGTGGTGGAGACTAACGGGCTTCGGATTCGCATTCAGCGCGTCGAATAACATAGGGATATATAGGCTTGGTTTAATATGCATAAGCTTTTTTTTTTTAATTATTATTATTTATTTTTTTTCATGATCTAATGATAGGATCTAAGCCAAATTTATGGGACCACCTCTTAGGTACCTCCTTTCCTTAAAAAAAAAAAAAACTTATAGACTTATTCTCACGAATTGATAACCTCCCTTTTTTTGAAGTCGGTTAAGAATGGTTTTGATTGCCCTTTTTTAACCGACTTCCAAAAAAGGAGGAGGATATCAGTTCGTCGGAATATTTTATTTTTATGTATGCTACCGCATAACTTTGGACCCCGTCATCCGATTTCGATATTTCTTTTTGCATCGGAAAGGTAGTGTCGTGTCTCAGATGTGGTCCCATACTAATCTGGTTAAGATCCGATCAGTGGATCATCAGATATAAATATATTTTTTTTATATGAGAGTTGAAGTCGGTTTTTTTTTGCTAAAAATTACTTGTTTAATTATCCGTATAAAAAATGCCTCTTGGTGGTAAAAAGCATTTCTACAGTAGCTATTTGAAATTATATCGATTTCAATTGAAAACCTGAGAGGTATGAATTATTATTACAGCAACAAAATTCTAAGTGGCATTATGCTTCCTCTATTGGTTCTTTCCTTCAAGCGGTAAATAGTTCAATAGTGCGAAAAATTTTTTAAGCCTACATGAATCAAATCTGATATGATTTTCCCACAAAACTAAACTATTGAAAATTATGTTCTGATATAAATTTGAAGAATACCTAAATACATACAAGGAACTTAATTTAAACTAGATACTGCATTTATTTTGCTTCAATAACCCAAAACTATATACATATTGTACTTTATTTCTAAGAAAACTTAAACGCTTAAATCTTGGCGGTAATGAACTCACAACGATTCCACAACAAGCTCTCTCTATACTTGACGCTCTAAAAAAATTGGAAGTACAAGAAAACAAAATCAGCAGTATAAATGAAGGTGACTTTGCTGGTAAGAAAAAATCAAAAAGTTGTAATATTTGTTCCTTGCATTAACTACTATAAAAACACACAAATTATTAACTGGTTACATTTTAGGAATGGAGAGTTTGGACTCACTAATTTTGGCTCATAATATGATCAATACCGTTCCTGCCAATGTGTTTTCTCAGCTAAGACTTTTGAACTCACTAGAACTGGAAGGAAATAAGATCAGCACGATTGACAAAGATGCGTTTAAGGGATTGGAAGGTAAAACCATATAAAAAACATTAAATCAATATGAAACACTTTTTAGGTCAATTCTAAGCAATTAATTACAGCTATCTGATGCATCATTTGATTATGAGAGCAAAATTTTCTAATTATGTATTTCAAGATTTTTTTAATAATGTAGTAGATAGACACATTTATTTTGTAGGAGCTTATACTATAATGCATTCATCAAGCTAATATTGCTTTATGGTATACTAGTGTGGTGGACGGCTAGAGTCCGACCGATTAATCGGCATCGGCCATTTTTGGCCAATTCTTAGCCGCTTCTTTTAACTTTTTCCGCAATTTTAACAAGTGTTAATCAAAATTTTAAACTGTTAAATCAGATTCTTAGATTTTTTTTGAGTACGCACTTTTTTAAATTGTAGTATAATAAAGGGCAAATTTTAAGTAGCTAAGTAAGACTATGTTCAAACAGGCACCTAATTGGTAATTAAGAACCTTTTCACCAATTCAAGCCTTAATTGCTTAAAATTATTAATTGCCAATTAAAATTAACAATTAATTTGTGTCAGACTCTCTATGCAACCCTGCTAGCTATGTTTAATTTTGACTTGGAGGTATGTTTATTGAATAAAGAGCAATCAGCTGTTTGTTTCTAGTCCTCTTTTATAGCTCAGTTATGCATACTTGGCGTTGCTTGAGAGTGTGACAACTCTGAGTCTGAAGGAATCTGTTAAATGAGCTTTGCATGTAAGCGGTTACCCAACGCATTGCACTTCACACGTAGAAGTCTGTTGGTTTTTGGTTTCTACGTAAAAATGGTATAGCAGTGCATGCAATACCAAGTATGCATAACAGAGCCTTTACAGCTGATATGCCATCAGGTATGGAAAATTTAATCATAAAATTGTACCTAATTTACGAAAAACTAAAGTAGATAGATATACCTAAAAAGTAAATATGTATTTCTATACAAAAAAAAATATGAGGATAACAATTCCCATCGATACCATGTCAACTTCTGTACTCATATTAAAAGAAATATTCTTCGTCTATCTGGCGAAATCAACTACAGATTCGTTACTTTGACCACCCTTGTGCATCATTTGTATGCCTCTTCACAAAGGAGGGAAGCTATTAGACCAGTTACCCACCAGAAAATGCATTGAAATGTCAATAAAAATAAGAACTGATTTCCTGATAAGTTATTTGGCTACATTCCAAATGTACCTAAAATTGTGTGTTTGTAACGAATGCGCTTTCAAACTAAATAGAGGTACGATTGTACCAACTTTTCTATCACTGTAGGTAATCCAACAGCAGATTTCGTATCGCTAATTGCGCAACTGACGTATGTGTGAACACCAAACTCTATGCCGCAATTTAAAGCTTAATTGCCTGAGCTAATTGTGGCCTGTTTGAACATAGTCTAAGTGTTGATTTTTGACAATTTTTGTTCACGATTTTCTTCGAAATGAAGTATGTTCGAAAATTTGTTTGTGTGGAGAAAATCCGCAACACCTTCCACTTAATTGCTAATAACTGGGTATGATAATTGGTAATTTCGCAGTTACCTAAAATTTGCACTTCATTAAAGTAAAATTAAATGGGCTACAAAACTTCATACTCAGAATGTTTAAAGAAAAAGTTTAAAATTTTTACTAACATGGGTTTAGTTAGATAACGAGCTACACTTTCATAAAAAAAAATAAGAAACATTAAATAAAAAATTATAAAATGTCGTTGTCATTTATTTTTTGAAGTTTGTCTACTTTATAAAACTGAAATTTTCAGAACAAGTCAAATGCCAAATAAAAGTAAAACAAAAAACAAATATATGAATATATCCAAATTTTCTTTTATTTGAGACTGAAAGTGAGAACGTATTTGTGAAATTGAAAATTTGAAAACATTTTGGTTGTGTTAGCGAACTTCAAAAATGTTCAGGCTGCCTCTCAGCGGTTTCACCTTCAAATTTTTGTATCATGAAATTTATATCCAGGTAGTTTTTTTTTTAAGAAACGGCATCGATATCGGCCGATTTTTTGCCCCAAGGCCGATTATTCGGCATCGGCCAAAAATTGGGTATCGGTCGGACTCTATGGACGGCAATAAACAAGAGAGGAGAGGATACAAATAAATACAAGCTTGTCTAAGCGTCGCATTAGTAATATTAGAGAAGTGGACTCTGGTACCCGTGACCCGTAATCATTCCTTTTGTAGATATCATTCTTGTTCCGCTTGTAATAACAATAACGGTGCGACAAAAACAAAAAATGTCAAGGCACACGAAAGAATCGATATACTCACGAAACTATGGGCCAAATATAAGGTGCATTCGCGTATTGATGTTCTTCATAGCTATCCAAAACTATCAGGTTTTGCTGTTCGCGTACACAAAAATTCAGCAAAGTAGGGGAAATTGAGATACCAAACTGACATTTCATTTTGAAGAGAATCTGCTAGTTTCTGTTGAAAAATTTTTTGCCAGCAGCAACTTGCCAGCAAGAAAAATAGCTGATCAATATAATCCGTTCGCAAGTTATGAACATAATGCAATTTATTTTGATGGTTTTTGCTTTTAAAATAACTTATTAGAACTCCAAATGTTTGAAAAAAAAATGCAAATACTAATTTTTTTACGTTTGCTTAGTAAATTGCTTCAGGCAAACTTTTAGTTTATTTTCTTTTCATGTTTTCTTATTTGTACTTTTGTATGTAAACAAACTTCCGATCAGCTGTTCCTGAAACATTTCACTGCTTGAGAGAGAACACATAAAAATTCTCTATAATAAAAGGTGTATTCGCGTGTTCTTCTGGTAAAAAAATTTCCAGCAGAAACTAGCAGGTTCTCATCAAAATGAAATGTCAGTTTCGTTTCTCAATTTCTCCTACTTTGCTGGATTTTTGTGTACGCGAACAGCAAAACCTGATAGTGATCAAAAACTATCAATACGTGAATGAACCTAAAAAAGCGTTTTTAATTTTTCAAAGGCTTTGAAATTTTAAAGATATGATTAATTAAAAAAAAATATTTAAAAAATCAGTGCAATGTATAATAACAATATGGGTATCAAATGAGACAGAAAATTCTGTAGAGTTTAAAATCAAAACGCTTTTTGGTTTACAAGGACGAATAGGTATTTAAAATGCGCTTTTAATAAATTTTATCTTTTTAAGTTAATAAAGTTTGCAGGACGAAATTCGATGATGAGGTGGTCGTCCTCAAACAATAATTTTTTCAAAAAGAAAATATATCGCAAATTTTCCAGGATATTAAAGCACAAAAATTGTAAAGGACATTTTCCATACCCATTCGTCCTTATATACCAAAAAAATTAATCTGTTATAATTCTAAAAATTTTTTTCTTATATATATGATACACGTATCGTGTTATCCTACATTACACCGAATTTTTTAAATAAGTTTTGGAAACAATCATATTTTTTAAATTTCAAAGTCCTTTTAAAATAAATCCTAACGTCAGAGAGAAAAACTAAGTACGCAGTTTTACAATAATTTACCCTTAGTTTCGCGAATATATTTATTTTTGTGTGTGCAAAATTTACTGTTGCACGGTTTAATAATATATAGATAAGATAAAAAGGTCTTATATGTAAATCGCAGTGTTTCCAACTTTTGAATTTCAAAATGAACCAAAACTTGGAAAAAAGCGTTTTACCACACTAAAAGCACTAAATTTTTTTTGAGTCAAAGGATACTTTTTAACCGANAACTTTGGACCACGTCAACCGATTTCGATAATTCTTTTTGCATCGGAAAGGTAGTGTCTCAGAGGTGGTCCCATACTAATCTGGTTAAGATCCGATCAGCGGATCATGAGATATATATATATATATTTTTTTTTTATATGAGAGTTGAAGTCGGTTTTTTTTTGCTAAAATTTACTTGTTTTCATAACAGTTTGTATTTAACAAAAGTAAAAAAAAATAAACAATATTTACAAGTATAAAAGAATATATCGATTTCATAACGATTGAACAGCCACCTTAAAACTGGTATACCTATCTCGCGAAAAGAAAAATCGAATCGCAACAAACTAAAATGAATTTTAAAGGGGAAGAGTAATTCTAAATGATAAATTATTGTTTTCATAATATAACCTCAAATATCGCCAAAAACCGTGTTTTTGGCACTTTGAGGTTTGGATATCTCACGTGCTAAAGCAATTCCGCGGCCATATTTGGATTCAGCAGCAAAATAGCTACAAGATACGATGTGGTCAAAGGACTTTCACACAAATTCGTTAAAGTTTTCATCGGTATTTGTTAACTCGGTAACGCTACTTTGCTATTATGATCAGCTAATTGGCCATTTACAGCTTACGCGCTTATGGATTTTTTTTTGATTATTTGATACAATTATATTATTTTAAGATAAATTTATATAAAACACACTTCATATTAAACTTACTCATAATTTGTACATCTATTTATGAATTAAATATTATTGTTTAGTTTGTAACTGACTTAAAAAAAACGAGGAGGTTATAAATTCGTCGGGATATTTTTTTCTTTGCTTTTTATGTATGTTACCCTATAACTTTGGACCACGTTCATCGATTTATATAAAGTTTTTTTTTTTTTTTAAGGAAAAGTGGTACCTCCGAGGTAGTCCCATACTAATTGGGTTTAGATCCGATGATTTGATCATGAAGAAATTAACGGTACTCTAAAATTATATTCAACAATTTTTATGAGCTGGAGGCCATTTTAAGTGAAAACTTATTGTGGAAAACGGCCCCAAGCTCATAAAAATTGTTGAATATAATTGTTATAAGGCCATAAAATAACAAAAAACAAGTAGTATATAATAAGGTATATATAAATTAGTTTCGATAAGGAGGAGTGGGACATCCCATAGGGTGGAAATTTTTATCAGTTATAACTTCGGAGCCATAAGTCACATGAACTTCAAATTTGGTATGCAGACATATCTATGGTGGGTGCTTATAGTAGGCTATATATATGTATATGAGTTTGTAAGAGGGGGCGTGGCACATTCCATAGGCGTGAAATTGTTTACCAGCTATAACTCCGGAACCATAAGTCACATAAGATTGAATTTGGCATGCAGATATATCTATGATGGGTTCTTATAGTAGGGTATATATAAATGAGTTTGTACAAGAAGGCGTGGAACATCCCATGGGCGTGAAGTTTTCAAACAGATATAACTTCGGAACCACAGGTCACATGAACTTGAAATTTGGAGTGAAGATATATGATAAATGTCTATAGTAAGGCATATATAATTTTTTTTTTTTCGAAGGGGACGTGGCACATTCCACAGGCGTACAATTTTGTATCAGCTACAACTCCGGAATCATAATTTACCAGAATATGAACTTTGGTATGAATACATATCCATAGTAAGGTTTGTATACATGAGCTTGTAAAAGGGAACGTGGAGCATAGGTGAGGAATATTTAAACAGCCATAAATTGGGATCCATAAGTCAAATGAACTTGAAATTTGGTATGCAGACATATATGTATTTGGGAGGTATTTAGTGTAAAGTATATATAAATAAGTTTGTAAAAGGGGATCTATTAGATTACTCGGATATTTAAAACTGTGTGTTTTTTTTAGCCTTACAGTCCTTAGACCATTTCGAAATGGAAAGATTAAATCGTTTTTTTGATCCCGCGATGCTATTAAACGAAAAGTGTTCATTCACAATGAATAAAACTCCTTTCGAAATAGGCAGCTAAATGGAATGTGCCGTAGTAGACTAATTTTAATTTAAAAATTCTATCGTTACCTTAATCCACCTAATTAATCCTTAATCCACTAAATTAATAATGAACAAGATTTGTAGTAGTACGCAACGCCTGGGTTCAAACCCTGGTCAAAGCAACATCGCAAAAAATATAGAAAAAAGGTTTTTTTTTAACAGCGGTCGTCCGTCGGCAGGCAATGGCAAACCTCCGAGTGTATTTCTGCCATGAAAAATAGCTTCTCATAAAAATACAATCGCCGTTCGGAGTCAGCGTAAAACTGTAGGTCCCTCCGCTTTGTGTGACAACATCAAGGCGCACGCCACAAATCAGAGGAGAAGCTCGGCCAAACACTAACATATGTGTAAGCGCCTATGTATTATTATTATTATATAGTTGTTGAAGCACGATGAAGCTAAAAGTATGGTTCATAAGTATGCCTTAATTTAAACAGAAAGGAAATAGTTTGACTCCAAAAATTGTTGTGTCGAACCTTTTACTCTGAATTTTTTGAACATTTTTGGGTAAGCAGTTTTATGACCCAAGGAATTTAAGAATAACCAACAATAGGCCGCCAGAAATTCACGTTCACATTTTTATTTTTTTTTGCGCCGGTCTTTTATGTTTTTTTTTTACTTAATAATTGCAATTTATAAAAACTGGCATTGATTTTTTTAAATTTGTCTGCGATCTTGAGAGTAATTTTTATTCCAAAAACATGTTAACTGAAGGCACATTTGGAAAATACGTCGAAACGGTCTTAATCTTTCTATAACTACTAGTCCTTATAATATTACATAAAATGCTACAAAAAAGGAACAGTCCAGCGCCTTCGTATTGGTCTGCAGGCTGTATCGGAGATACAGCCGCTACATTTAAACGTAGAATACGTGGTATGGTTAAGAGCATATCCAAGTCAAAAACGAAATCACACACTAAGAAAAAAAGGGTTTTTCCAAAATTTTACAAATTTACATACTTCTAAGTGAAAAGAACTCAATGGGAATATAAGCGAAAGCCCTATTTTTATTTTTATTTTATACCATTGTTTTTTGTGTTTATTTTTACCTTGGCCTTTATCCTTTTCTTTATCTATGTACGTCCTCACCTTTACTTTTATTCTTGGATTGGACTTTTTCTAAATGTTGTTTCACTTCGAAAAGTCTTCGCGTATTATGCATACATGTGTTCATATATGTATGTACATATATAATATGTATGTACATATGTATGTATAGACATACATAGATTACTAAAAATAGAAACAGATCCACATTAACTGCAATCAACATATGTACGTATGTATGTATTTACATATGTACACACGCTGCGATTAGGTTATAAATAGCGCGCCTCTGTTTATCAAAAGCCGCATTACATACGCATACATACTTTTTGTCTCCTTCCCACACTTCCAACATATGCACGTGTTTGCAAAATGATGACGAGGTGATTTTGTATGGAAAATCATTTATGCCCATATATTTGAATAAAATAAACATATATAGAAGATATCAACCAATACTTCCCATATACCAAACGAAAGGAAAACTCTTGAATTTTTGATTAAAGAAAACAAAAACAAAATCATTCGAGCGGTTTTCGAGCATTTTGGTAATGAAAAAAATTTGCAAATTTTTTCAACAATTTTTTGCCTTAAAATGCTCAATATTTGTTAAATTTATATAAAATTTGTACCCGATAATATTTCTACTGCTCCAAAGAACCTATATCCCGAAAATGAAAGTTATATATGCCAACAATAAGTTGCTAGAGCACTTTAAAGGCTCAAAATTGACCCCAAAATAAGGCAATGTTTACCGTTGTTTTTACGACAGAAACCGAATTGGTTATTTACAAAAATGAATCTGTCGACAGGTTTGCAATTTTATCTTTGAAACGCCATACTTTTCTTTGAAATCGCTTTATTAGTTCTCGTGCAATAAGCGTTTTTGTGAAGCTCTAAAAATTACAACTACAACATTTGAACATAGCCCCCATACCTTAAGGTAAGACGTATTCTACGTCAAAATGTGTCTCTAGAAGTATGTAAAAACCTTGATTTAGTACTTTTAATTATGCTCCTTCCTGTAGTCAGAATAATTCGAGCGCGGTATCAAATCCAATTTATTCGACAAAGGTGCTGATAGTTGCTCTTACTTAATAGGAGCCTTCTAAATTCATTGCCGTCCCCAGTTCTGCGCGATTGGCTCCACTTTTGGAGATAGCCGTACTTGAAATTTTGTTTAAATTTTAACTATTATATAAAAAAAAAACTCCCTCAGTTTTGAAGATATTTTACTAAAATTTTGCACACGCTTGTATTTTAATATTAACAATATTATTTAATCTCCTAAAATCATCGAATCGGTAACATCTTGCTCCCACATACAACTGATTGTTCAGGTACGTTGTTTTGCGTTATAACTCCTCCAATTAAGCAGGTAAAAATTTATTATAGTCACTTTAACATATAGCACGCATATAATTTATTATTCAGATATGAAGTTAGAGTTATTGCGCACAAACACATATCTGCGTAATCAGTTGTATTGGAGCTATATGTTAAAGTGAACCCATTTCGATGATTTTAAGAAATAATTAAGGTAATACTAAAACCCGTTATGTGCAAAATTTTAGTAAAATAACTTCAAAACTGAGGGAGTTATTTATAAAATAGTTAAAATTTAATTAAACTTTCAAGTACCGTTATCTCCAAAACCGGAGCCAATCGATTAACTAAAAGATTACGAATAAAATGGTATATAAAACAAACGTGTGCTCACAAATTTAAAAATTAATATTTTTTTTGGAAAGTGTGTCTACTTTTTAGATTTTCCCATATAAAAAGTATGCATTAAAGCGTTCGAAAATTAATGCAATAAAGTATACTACGTTTTTGGAAAGAAATTGATAAAGTAAAGATATTTAACTACTTTGTGTTTGTTATTTTATGTCCTTATAACAATTATATTCAACAATTTTTATTGAGCTTGAGGCCGTTTTAATGAAAAACTTACCGCGGGAAAGCAACAATAATTTAAAAAAATGGTAGAGGTGATAGCTTTTCGGAAATCACCACATTTCCTCATCAGACTTCTTTCAGTAGGATTCGAACCGACCATCCACTTGATTCAGCCAGTTGCCTACTCACTGTGCTAAGTTCGCCTTGCGAACTTGTTTTCACCACTTTTGGTACTAAGTTATCAAAGTGGCAACCCTGATCACAAACATACATAAAATGTGTATATGTATGTATTTCGCTCTCAAACTGTATTTTTTTAATTTAAATCTAAATATAAAAGGCTTCACTTAAAAAACTTTATCGTAGTATAACTAAAATCGAATTTCAGAAAATCTTCAATATCTCCGCTTGGGTGACAACAAGATTCAATCCATACCTAGCGATGCCTTACGTCCATTACATCGTTTGCGTCACCTAGATTTAAGGAATAACAACATAAGTTTTATACAAGAGGATGCTTTCACCGGTTTTGGAGACTCGCTCGCATTCCTCGATTTCCAGAAGAATGAGTATGTCCTCATTGAATACCTCCACCGTAAAATGATTTAATATTTATTATTATTCTAGCATAAAAGTATTGCCGAGTATGATTTTCGAAAATCTCAACTCTCTTGAAACGCTCAACATTCAAAATAACAAATTATCACGCATTCCACTGGATATAATGGAGCCAATTACTGATACGTTGCGCATAATCGATATCACAGGTAATTTCATCTTTACTAATATACAATCATACGCTCCCAGACATTTGAATAACACACCCTTATAATCATCAGTATGTACAGTTTTCCTTTTGTTCGTTTAATATCCACTAACTTACTTTATAAAAATATAGCAAATTCTAAGTGTAAAGGGTGTACATTAGTGAATTTTATTGCTCTCACCCCTAGGGGGTTCTATATCGAAAAAATACCCCAAACTTTTTTTATTTTGAATCAATAACAATACCCAATTGTTTATTTAACCATTTTTAATACATAGCATAAAAATTCCGACTTTACTTTTTCCACATGCATTTTTGGACCACTCTAGTGTGCATACCTACAATGGCGGTCTTAGTTTTCTAAGATCTGACTTTTGACCCTCTATATATAGAAACTAAAGCATCTGTAATAAAAGTTTGCACAAAAAAAGTTATATACCGTTTAAATAAGAGAAAAAGGTGAACCACCTCTGTATTTTTACTTTTTTCGCTTTGTACATGCAATAATTAAAAATAATTTTTTACCAAAAGTCCAATTTCGAACTTCGAAGGCCCATAACTCGATTTCGGAGGCTAACTTCGAAAAACGGAGAACTTACTTTTTTTACTTATGCCGAGTGCTGTACGGCATTACACTAAAATTGAATAGGCTATAAACACCTCTGAGAAAAAAGTTTGATATTTTGATGAAAACTTGATGACTTTTTTCAGTGTTCTAAAAAACTTTAAGCTTAGGTTTATATGGTATTTCTTAGGGAATGAATTGAAGAATTTTAAAAATTAATAAATAATAATAAGTGGCAAACAACATCCTTTTGAATTTGGTCCGAAATGACAGATATGTCCAACACTGTATGTATGTATAAATATATATAATCAATGACTTTATAGAATTAAATTCTTGTAAAAATTACATAACATTGCTTTATCGATTTTTTTTATAAAGTTTTTGTTTATGTGTTTAAATCAGGGACGTGAACCGGATGAAAAATTTGGTCGGTTCGGTTTAGCGGTTCGAACCGTTTTTGCACTTTTGGATTGGTTCGACAAAGCGGTTTTTTAGTCTGTGAACCGGGGTTTTGGTTCGGTTCAACGGTTCGGAAATAAAAAAAATAATGCGCAAGTCTAAGTGTAAAGTGTCAAGTGCAGCAACGCGCAAGGTTAAATTTCAAGTGTATGTTAAATGAGATGAGTTGCCTTTACATTTGATACTGCCACATGGTAAACAAACATGGTATGAAATAGAGATGGGCACGGGCCGGGCTTTTGGCCCCTGCGGAAGCCCGCGGGTACGGGCCGGAATATTTGCTATCAGCACGAGCTCGTGCGTGCATGGGCGTTCAGTAAAATTTCATAAAAATAAAAAAATTTCACGAATAAGCACGAAAAAGCCCGTTGCTAATACTATAAATTTAGATAAACAAATAAAAATCTATACTAATTATATAAAGAGAAGTCCCTTTTTTTTGTAACAGGTAATCTCGCGAACGGATGGTTCGATTTTCATAAAATTTTGTATATAAATAGCTTTCAGTAACCACCATGTTTTAGGCTAAAAAAATTTACTTTTTTCGGGTAGGAGGACCAGGGACCGATCTATTCGAAAAAGTCGAATTACCGATCCGATTTGCTAAAAATTCGGTACGTAGGTAGCTTTTTAGCATATATTAGCATATGTGGTCCATTTTTTTCGAGAAGTGGACCAGGGACCGACCTATTCGAAAAAATCGTATTACGGTCCGANGTCTTTTGAAACTGCCACCTGCCGCAAGTGTCCCAAGGATAGTTTTAGGGTAAACAAAAATCTATATGTAAAGGGGGCGTGGCGCCTCCCATACAAACCGAATTTCTCATGCTACATATCTCTGAAAGTGTGCATGGTAGAGTTCTGGAACTAGGTATGGAGATATACGAAATCAATCGCANCTGCCACATGGTAAACAAACATGGTATGAAATAGAGATGGGCACGGGCCGGGCTTTTGGCCCCTGCGGAAGCCCGCGGGTACGGGCCGGAATATTTGCTATCAGCACGAGCTCGTGCGTGCATGGGCGTTCAGTAAAATTTCATAAAAATAAAAAAATTTCACGAATAAGCACGAAAAAGCCCGTTGCTAATACTATAAATTTAGATAAACAAATAAAAATCTATACTAATTATNCTTGTTGTGTGTTTGAGTGGGTCTCTGGATGGTTTAGTTTCACAATGTAATCCGACAGTTGGCGCTGTAGTTGAGTTATTACTANACGAAAAAGCCCGTTGCTAATACTATAAATTTAGATAAACAAATAAAAATCTATACTAATTATATAAAGAGAAGTCCCTTTTTTTTGTAACAGGTAATCTCGCGAACGGATGGTTCGATTTTCATAAAATTTTGTATATAAATAGCTTTCAGTAACCACCATGTTTTAGGCTAAAAAAATTTACTTTTTTCGGGTAGGAGGACCAGGGACCGATCTATTCGAAAAAGTCGAATTACCGATNACTTTGAAATTGCAACCAACTATACTATAAAGCTTCTAGGACATTCACTATGGAACCGGGTCATTGTTGCCGCCAGGNAAAAAGTCGAATTACCGATCCGATTTGCTAAAAATTCGGTACGTAGGTAGCTTTTTAGCATATATTAGCATATGTGGTCCATTTTTTTCGAGAAGTGGACCAGGGACCGACCTATTCGAAAAAATCGTATTACGGTCCGATTCGCTTAAAATTTGGTACGTAAGTAGCTTGTTAGCATATATGATCCATTTTTTCCGAAAAGTGGACCAGGGACCGATCTATTCGAAAAAATCGTATTTACGGTCCGATTTTCTNGGGACAAATTTATTTCGCTTTGCGAATAACCGTGCTATGAAATGCCGCACAACTGGAGAATTTCGAGAACTTCTTCCCGGATATAACACTTTCCTTAAGCGGCAAATGACCACCAAGCCATAATCTTAGTAGACGAATGTGCCAATGAAAATCGTAAACGTGAATTGTTGGTTAAAATGTTGGACCAAAAAGTTTCAATAAAATATATACAAATTTTGGGCGGGACGAAGTTCGCCGGGTCTGCTAGTACAAAATAAAAATAGTACATATTTAAAACTCTTTTGATAAGAGAAAAGGAAAAAAAGAAATATTTGGAAACCGATAGCAAAAATAAGATACTTAGTAGTTTTGTTTACATATCTGTACATAAAACACCTTCCACTTTTTCTACTTCCCAAAAAATATATTTTAAAAATCTTTGATGTAAAAAATTGATTCGGTTAAGTAAATATACATACATAAACACAAAATTAAAAATATGTACATACATATGTATACATATAATAAAAATTGGCTTTTTATTTCCGGGCTTGGACGTCTCCCGTCGTGCCGGGCCCCACTAAAATTCTTAACGTGCGGGCTCGTGCGTGTTTTTTAAAGTTGATTTTGCACTCGTGCCGGGCCGGGCCTGAAAATTTAGGCCCGTGCCCATCTCTAGTATGTAATTCCATATTTAACGAAAAGAAACAAAAGCGTGTAAATTTATCTATTGAAAATAGGTTTAAACGAACCTTTAAACCTTTATGAAAAGTGGTTCGGTTTTCGGTTCGGATCAAACATTTGTGGAAAATTTCGATTCGGTTAATGGTTCAGTTAATTAATAGAAAAAGTCGGGTTTCCGGTTAAAAACCGGTTCGGTTCAAAACCGGTTCACGCCCCTGGTTTAAATAATCGATCTTGGTTTTAAACTACGTACACTTCATTATATGTACATGTTTTATTTAAGAACTTATTTATGTAAGTTAACAAGAAGATTAACTTCAATAATTATGTTCGCTTAAGTACCCGCATCGAGGTACTAGCAAGCTAGTATTGCATACATACATACAAACATACTTAAATAAATAGAGAAATTCAAAAACTTCGGTCTTTTTGCAGATAATCCGTTGATATGTTCATGTGAGCTTACATGGTTCCCAAAGCTTTTACAGGACCTGAAGAATCGAGATGACGAGATGGCGCAGAAGAAAAAGCCCGTTTGTCACATGCCTATCGAAAACCGACAATACTACGTACAAGCAATGCCATTGGAAAAGATGCACTGTGGCGGCATAAGCGCCGGCACATCCATCTACAATGGGATGCAGTTACGTGTGCCGCATTTGAGCATGGTCACCAACGTGGCCGTTAGCATATTTGCGTTAATGCATATATTTTAAAAACTCACCGCAACGGCAGTAAACAAATGAGCAATTACTTCGGTATATTGGCTCGCTCTGAATGCCATTTGTAAGCGAATGTGTTCAGCTATCAAATCGAATTCAACTATTTGAAGGAATTATAAAATGGAGAACTGTGAACGGATGCCTTCGGATTGTGGGCAGAAACAAAATATATATGTACATATCTACATATGTCGACACGTACGCGTAACGGTAGAGAGAGAGAGTCATAGATACGCGCCAATATATAACTGTTCAAAATTCAACAAACATACATATCATGAAAGATGCCATTAAATTCTTACACAAACATTTATATATTTAATATGTAGGTATTAAGGTTTTGTGACAATTTAAAAAAAAATCTGAGAGAATTGTATTAAGATTGTTCTATACACATATACATATGTAAGTATATGTACACTAAAAGATTAGCCTTTTTTTTGAAAGATTTTTTGCTGAGAGTACCTAGTGTAAGAAAATAACTTTGAAACTAAGCAGCTATGTTTGTATGAAGCTTACGTGCAAGTATATTTATTGAAATTATACATCTACTATATGTATTCCTATTCAAATATTTGCTAAAAGGTATTTTCTAAATGTTTGTTAAAACTATTTATTTATACTTTCTTTTTATATACACTATTGATAAATAACGCAAATTCAAAGGGAAGCTACTAATGCAAAATAAATGTCGTCGTTGTGAGATACAATCATTTTTGGGTTTGAATAAATTAAACAAAAAAGAGTGAAGTCAACTGCAAAAATGCAACAATGAAAACAAAAACATTACAAAAAAATAGTAAATGCGTTCGAAAATGGTAAACGCTTACTAAAACATTTTATTTTAAATTGTATCCAAAGGACGTGTAAAGCAAAATATGTAGCTGGTTGCTCTGTTACCCAATATTAACGCGTGACAGGAACAGGAATTAAAGCGGGACTTATTTGAATTGGAATGCGGAAGAGGCTACCGCAGGCTAGGTAGAGGATTAGAATGTGAGTTGCAGCTTATCTGTCTTAGACATTCTTTAATCGATTGCAAAAAGGGAAAGTATTACCGAACTCCAAATATAGACACACCCCCACGAAAGTCACAAGAACTGATTATGGAATAAGTAGTTTGTACTCGTAAATAATGTGAGCAAACAAAATTTTTTTTAACCGTATTATGATTACTATGTGTACAAATTTGGCTAGTTAAAATATGAAGCTTTTGATTGATCAAGACACACATACATATGCACAGATTCAATGAGAGCAATGCTAAATCCCCAATAATTTCAGATGGGATGAATAGTTAACTACGTACTTGAAAACTACTTTTTCAGTGAAAGTTAACCTGTGGTGAATTTTTAAGCTACACTTAAAAGAGAGTACACATGATACAAAAAGTGCGCAATATGACTCATGACAGATAACTTCTACCTTTATTTGACTAGTTTACTTCACTACGACAAACATTTACATTTTACATAACTCCAAACAGATCAGTTTCATTTTGTTGTGCTTCCCGAGCAAAGGTAGAGGACAGAACTACTTAAACAGATGAAGCATATTATTGAACAAATGCTTGGTTGAATTTATTTCTCGCGAAAGCTTAAACAACAATACCTAAAAATGTTAATATTCGACTCGTCGCATTAACTAATATTAGGAGAGTCTATTGCAGTAGCTTCGCATAATATCGCACATATCACGCTAAGCTATAGTGTTTAATCGGGCAAACCGATAGACCTAAATACGTGCATACATATATAACACATACATATGAACATGTGCCAGTCATGTGTAAGGTAGAGATTAAAGGCAGACACAAATTTTTATAAAAACTTTCCAGTTAAATGTGTTTAATTAGGATAAAAAAATTTTGTTGACAATTTGAGATTATGTAAATGCATACATACATATGTACGTATATACAAACATATGTATACAAACGAATATTAGAGTACGTAAATCAATCAAATCGAAGGTAATGAGTAACAGCATGGAATCTTTGAAAAATGAAAATGTGCAAATATTTTCAAAATGGGTCAGTAATCAAAGGTTGTATGTTTATACTCAGAAACTGAATTTTTACACAAACCAATTAAAGTAAATGTACATTAGCGAAAATTGTGGTCTTTGAAATATTTATTTTGAGTATAGTATTTATAACACACATAGCAATTTTTATATGTATACATGTTTATTTATTCTATTTTAAATGTTTACAAAATTAGTTTCTCTTTAAACCAACGAGCAGCTTTATCAAAGGGTCAGATTGTGGCGGCACTTGGTTTAAAAGAGGTCAGTGAAATGTCGTTCCTTTTCCGTTCCTTTATATAGAGAATAAGTTTTTAAAATAGGGATATTTATAGCAAATATTTGTATTAAGTTTAACGGAAATAAAGAACAGCCAGGTTAGTCAAAAAACAACAATATTGATCGTTTTATTCAACCTCTTTATATTGATATACAAATTAATTCTTTATTAGGCGCATAAAGAAAATAACACAATTATTCGCATGGGGTCTCGAGTGCCAACAAAAAATTGTTGGAAAACGGGTGTAAGAATTACACAAAACGAATTGTGTATTATTATAGTAAACTCTTTATTATCTTTAGCTCTACCATGGATTTGTATTGTGCTTTTATAGTATGTTTGTGGTATTCATCGTCTAACAGACAAAGCATATAATGAATCCGATCTCGCCGTATACTTGTTAAGTATTACTTATGCAATATTAAAAGCACAATTTTGAGTTACATACAGTGGTCGTCCAGTATAACGGATGTCTATATAACGAACGCTCCATATAACGAATGCGTTTTTGAAATCTATTGATTACTCTAAATAACGAACGGTTGAAAAAAGCAGTATTCTACATAACGAACGGTTGTTTTCTTTGCGTGCTTGAATGAGATGATTTTGCATAATTATTGCGTGGGTGGAATAACGACTAGTTCAAAAGAAAAACTTTACATGATTTGGCATGATTTTTTATTTACTTTTGCGTACGTGCAAATACCATCGTTTCAAAAGAATATCTTCTTACAAGTGATCCGGTTTATTGAACTGGAAAAACGCCTTCGTCGCGTAATTGTAATTAACATTTTAAATTATTGAGGACTTTATAAACAAAAAATCATTAAGGGAGTTTGGAATGAAATTTGGAATTCCGAAGTCAAGTGTATGCATCCTTATAAAGTCTCGCGAAAAAATCCCGAAGTGTTTGAAAACTGCTAACGGTGCACAGTGGGGCAAAAAAGGTTGCCGTGGACAAATGAATTTTGAGTGCCCAAATATGAACCGATTTCAAGCTTTTTTTTTTGTAATAATAGTTAATTAAATTTCGCGTCGATCTATCCGTGGCGATTTTTTAAAAAAGTTCTGGTTTTTTATTTATTTATGTTGAAAAATGAAAGAAAAACAATTCACGTTTGAATGCTTCCACTTTTTGGGAAAATGCTTGAAATTAATTTCAAATGTCTGCTATTATTTAAATAAATGTTCATAAATATTTTTCCATAGGATACATTTAATTAAAAAAATGTATTTAAGCCGTTTTTTCGCTTTTTTCTAATCGAAAAACTCGAGAACAGCTGTACAGATATTACTGAAATTTTGGACATCGACTCTAGACCCTCAAAGGATGATAATAGAAGAAAAATAATTTCGATATATCAAAGGGGCGTGGCACCTCCCATACAAACTGAAGTTTTCACACAACATATCTCTGGAAGTATTCATCGTAGAGTGCTGCAATTTAGTACAGAGATATATAATATCAACGCCAAACTCATGGAAAAATGGGAGTTATTGAAAAAGAGGGCGTGGCACCTCCCATACAAACTGAATTTCTCACACCACATACACATTCTAATCTATCTCAAATCAGTGCTGTGATTGATGATTGAAATTGACGGTATTGAATATGAAGATAATAATAATGACCCCATAACTGTAAAAGGTAAAGCCTACTTATGCAAAGGTTTAATAAATCCATCAAACGCTCTGAACAAAACGATATTGAACTCTCCAGAATATTTGTTTTAAGAAGTTTGCAGGAAAAAGCTGTTAATTTCAGCGTTATACGAGCGAAGAAGCGATCACTAATGGCTGTTTTTTTTTTGTTTCTAATAAGAATTAAGCATCTACATATGTATTCATACATTTTGTTTTACAAATTGCTTTATATTTTTGTAGAGCAGGCATTCTATGATGCTCATATCGCACACCGTCTTCAAAAGAGTCACAACTCAAAATTTGGCATTTTTGAAATTATGCGCTAAAAATGTACACAGAGCTTTTATTTACCTTTCAGCATAAGATGGAGCAACTTTTTGTTATAATTTGTTTAAAAAAAACCTAAGGTAAAGTCGCCCTTGCCCATATGATGTGAGCATGTGCTACGACAGGCTTTCCCACCCCTGTGCTACGAAATAGTTCTTCGCATTTTCTGACGAACGTATTATTTTGAGTTGTGACTCTTTTGAAGACGGTGTACGATCTGTAATGTAGAGTCGGATTTTATTAAATTCTCATAATAAAATTTTGGTTCGATATAGCGTATGACCCCAGACATGATATCATTCGTTATACTGGACGGCCACTTTATTTATATACCTTTTATGAAAATAAAGTAAACAAAAATACTTATTTTTTCTCAGAAATTGTTGTGGCCGACCTTATATCCGAGTGGAGGGATATGATTGATGGTACCCGGGTTCGATTCCTGGTCTAAGCAAAATCCAAGAAGTCTGAAAATAACTAGATCCAGGAAGCTCATGCACTAAAAAATCGAAAATATGCGCATATGAAAAATTTTTTCCTAATATCTTATTACATTAAACGAGCAATTCTTGTATATAAATACATATAGGCTTCTCGGAAACGCCTCTAACGATTTTGATGAAATTTTGTACACAGATAACGTTTTGGATTTTAAGGTTATCTGAATAGGCAAGAATCGTGTAAGGTTGCCACCTATTCGAAATTAGTTAAAACATTATAATATTTATTAATAATATTATTCAAAAATATTTTTAATAGGGTTGCCATCTATTTTGAATCGTATTTATTTAATTTTTTGTTTTGAAAATAAGGTAAAATAGTACTATTCATGGGTACCAAGAGAAGGTTTTTAAACAATGCTTGCCCTTGCTATAAAATGTTATCTCTTAGGATAATAGTGTAAAGTTGCCACTTACTTTCGATGCTACACAATTTATCTAAAACATCGCAATATGAATATCAAATGAAAGGTATTGTTGAGATCTTTGGTCAGAAGATATTTTCCATCAGAAATTTTGGGACCAAATCTATTTAAAATATATTAAACTACTAGCTTTTACCCGCGGGTTTCCCCCCACGTTTTAATGTAAATATGAAATACAATTTAATGGTGTTATATTTTACTTCTGTGCCCATTTTGTTATAGCTCTATATTTTTTAAGCGAGTTAAGGTATTGAGGCTGTTTAAAACTATGAAATTATTAAATCTCGTCTGCACGATAGGTATACGAAAGACGTCACTCCCTCTAAGTTTACCTTAAAATGGTTCCAGGGATACGCCGCGTGAACGTGTAACTTTCTGAGAGGTGCCACGGTGGGTTCTAATATTTCCAACTCAAATTTAGTAACCTGGCCTTGATAAAATACCACTTTTCAGTACTGTGGCTAAATGCCTCAAGAGGTATGTATGCATCATGAGAGCTTTAGATTATATGGGCGAAGCCGTCTCTCCTTTTTCCATTTGAATTTTCAATGAAATTTTTTGTCAGTACGGCACTTATAAAATAAATAATCACCATAACAAATTTAAAATACTTCCAGAGATTATCTATCCTTCCAGAGATATGTATTAAGAAAGTTTTAGTATGTATGTGAGGCGACATGCCTCTTTTTTAATAACTCACATTTTTTCCATGAGCAATTGATAACTTTTGTATACACAACTCCATACCAAGTTCCAGTATCCTTCCACAAACACTTTCAGGTATATGTGGCAAGAAAAAGTCAATTTGTACGGGAATCAGTTCAATCATTTCCACGCTTTGATATGTTTAAACCTTTTAACACCTGGAAACTCTTAAAAGAGTAGCCTATTTTCCAATGTAGGTCTAAGCTATCTGTGTGAAAAATTTCATGCAAATCCGTGCAGTCCTTTCCGCGTATTAATTTAATTCAACTGCTTTAAAAGGTGGCAACTCTTAAGAAAAGTAGCCTATTTTACAATCTAAGTCATAAGCTATCTGTGTACAAATTTTCATGCAAATCCGTTCAGTCGGTTCCGCATATTAATATAATTAAACTTTTTTAGCAGGTGGTAACTCTTAAAAAAAGTAGCCTATTTACCAATCTAGGACATAAGCTATCTGTGTGCAAAACTTCATGCAAATCAGTTCAGTCATTTCCGCGTATTAAATTAATTATCTTTTTTAACAGGTGGCAACTCTTGGAAAAGGCAGCCTATTGTCCAATCTTAGCCGTAAGCTATCTGTGTACAAAATTCCATGCAAATCCGTTTAGTCGTTTCCGCGTGATGGTTTCTTTTCTCAAACATCCAAACATACAAACTTTCACATTT